GGTCCCCCAGGAGCGCCGGGGCGCAGGAGACAGGGACCTGGCGCAGGTACCCTGAGGGAGACTGCATCGGAGCCACGGGCCAGGATTCCGAACTTAGCGGGGGAGTGGCTAGCGGTCCTGGGACGCCAGGGAGAGACGGCGATTCTACTCAAAACAAGTAGAATCGAGAAAAGTGACCAGAAGAACGAGGGCTTTAGAGGGTAAAGGGGAACCCTGCGCACCGCCATGGGCACACACACGCACCACCAGCATGCTGGAGGAAGAGGGGGAACTTGGTATAGTCAGTGGATCGAAACGGCTGATCTCCAGTCCCTGGTTTTCCGTTTAAGGTCCTTGGGCCTCAATTTCCTCAACTATGTGGAGACAATACCTGTCTTGTCTATGGGCGGGATGAGAGCAAATACACACAAGGAATCTACAGAATGTCTGGCTTAGGCACATAAGAGCTTTCCGAAGACTGTTTTCTGTCTTTATTTCTGTTTATAATCTGAAAAGTAAAGGCTTGTGCCATTTGAAAGGAGGGAAAACAAATTTTACTCCTGTACTGAATTCGAACCAAGCAGAATTAGGGCTCTGTGGCCTTAACCATTGTCAGTTTGTCTACATCAGCCCAGCAGAGGGAAAATGAAGAGTTAACATTCCAATTTCCTTTTTTCTATACCTGTATTGTAAACGAACAAGATGTAGGACTGGATGCTTCATTTTCCTTATCTCTAAGAACTAAGGGGAAAAAATCCCTGAAGGTACCAATAAAATTATCTTAAGGCCCTCACTGGGTTAGTGGATGCAACCTATGGAATGCTTGAATTTCCTTGGAGGCCAGCACTCACCATAGCAGTGGGAAAAGAATGATTCCTCATTTATCTTCAGCCCTAGTCCAGTTCTGAGCTCTATCACTGTGACCAGGGAAATGAATTCAAGTAGTTTGAATTCTACAGAGGTTGATTGAAATGTGTGCAGGTGCTTGCAGGGGATATGGAAGTGAAAAAGCAGGGCCCCTGCCCTAGAGGAGCTTATGGTCAAGCAAGAGATTGATACTGTATAATATAACTCCATTATTCATTTTTAAAAACTAGCAAGTGCTACAGGAAACAATCTGCCGTGGAGGAGAGAATTAGAGAAAAACAGTAGCAATCCTCAAGGATCTTAGATTTCCCTTTGTCAGAACAGCTTTGCCAAAGGCCCTTAAGAACTGAAGGGCTCCAGTGAAAGCCCCTTGAGCTAATGAGCCCTTTTATGCTACCTTGGTATTTACAAGTGGTACATGCAGCACTCCATCGTATGGGACAGCAAGCTTTGTCCAGATCAGTTTCCTCCCCCAAGATGAAGTGGAAGGAAATATGATGTGACCTTCTCACCATAGACAGCCACACTGCAAAATAGACTCTGCCTGTCAGGCTTGCATTGTGACACTTCAGAATTATCCACAGGGATGTGAAGACCTGCTGAGGCAAAAGGACCAGTCTAGTGACTTAGCTAAGTGGTGAGAGTGAGGCTGAAGAGAGAGCACAGTGGGGTGGTCTGAATCCAACTCTGGGTCTCACAATTACTTTCCTAGTCAGGAGTATTGGTCTTTATCTGAGCCCCTATGTGGTTGATTCACCACGGCTGAACTCAATTGCCGACTTCAGCAAGCCATTCACAGAAGAGAAGAAGCAACCACATGGTCTGAATTACCAATAGTAAGAGTGATAACAGCTATTTTGGCTTGAGCCCTAATCATCTTTTGGGGATGGTCTCATTTAATTCTGGCAACAAACTTCGGATGCTATTAGTTCTAATTTATAAATTAAGAACCTGAGTCAAATACAGTAATTTGGCAAGGGTCACAAGTGAGAGCTGGAGGTTGGTTTCAACCCAACCATCTGGCTCAAGGTGCTGTTTCTTTTTTTTTTTTTTTTTTTTTTTTTTTTTCTTTTTTTTTTTTTTTAGAGGTTTTTGCTATAGGGTGCATGCGCTCGCCAGACAGAGAGAGCGAGAGACAGAGAGATAGAAAGCGAGAAATCACCCCAGAGGGGGGATGGACCACGCCACAATCCCTTCTCTTCCATTCTCCTCTCAGGATCTTGGGCATGCACACACATGTGCCTGGTATGCGTTTAAGCCACCAGGTCCAGGACGCAAACTGTGGTCGACTACGTTGGGAGTCCAGCGACATAACCATTACACTAACTGCTGGTCTCAGGGTGCCGTTTCGTAAGCATTCCAGTGTAATGCCACTCAGAACAGCTTTTTCAAGTACATATTGTATACTAGATTATCAATATCCACAGAGCAGGAACTTCGTTAATTTGATGCAGTAAGTGAAAGAATATACTTGGGGAATTGATTCCCCTCCCCTCCCCCCCCTAATTGTGGCATTATTTGCTAAGCAACATTTTTAAGAATTTTACAAATGCTAATTTATGTAATCCTCATATTAATCCAATGAGGTAACTATTATTATTCTCATATCACATTTGCAAGATGTCTGAAAACTGGGACAGAGAAGTTAAGTAATATTTGCCCAAAGTCACACAGCTAGCAAACGAAGGATCCAGAATTCAGACTTTGGCTCTAGCATGCAAGCTCTTAACCCCTATAAGTCAAAGTCAAGTGAGAGGAGTGGGTCTTCAAAAAGTTCAGAGAAAATGTGTCAGTTTTATGAAAAATGTATAGTTTTATGGAAAAAACTATATATGAATTTCAAATTTTTTTCACCAAAATAAATGTGTATTTTTGGGGGGTGGGGGGAGAGGTTTTTGCTACAGGATATATGTGCTCCCCAGAAAGGCAGAGAGAGACAGAGAAACAGAAAGCAAGACATCATATTCCCAGGGGGAATGGCCATGCTGCAATCCCTTCTCTTCCATTCTCCTCTTGGGATCTTGGGCATGCACGCACACATCCCCAGTGTGAGTTTAAGCCACTGCGTCTGGGACTCAAACTGCAGTTGATTACATGGAAGTCCAGCAACATAGCCATTACGCCAGCTGCTGGTCCCAATGTGTATTTTAATTCCATTTTCCACACACTTTTTTAACCCCCCCATACTAGCTCAGTATTTTTTTTTTTTTTGAGAGGTTTTCACTATAGGGCGTGTGCACTCACCAGACAGACAGAGAGAGACAGAGAGAGAGAAAGTGAGAAATCACCCCCCCCAGGGGGGATGGTCACGCCGCAATCCCTTCTCTTCCATTCTCCTCTCGGGATCTTGGGTATGCACGCACATGTGCCTGGCGTGAGTTTTTAAGCCACCGGATCCGGGACGCGAACCGCGGTCGACTACATGGGAGTCCAGCAACATAGCCATTACGCTAACTGCTGGTTCCCGAGCCTTTAAAATCTTAAGCCCAAATAAGGAATATATTTTGTACTGCAACTCATGACACATATACATAAATACAAATAAACCTTAATGAAATGATACTTATTTCTCCTGTAAGTAATACAGTTTGAAATCTTTATTACATTTTATTGAAAATAAAGATACTGGTTGTGATTCACTAAATGGATTTCACACTCTACTTTGAAACCTGAAGCTTCAAAGTGTAGTTCATTATCTCCATACCTGCCTAGGAGGGAATTATGATTGCAGTTCAAGCTAAGAGTTTCCATATCAGAACTGGGTAAACTCAAAGGATGACTCTATAAATAGAAGATAATCAGAAGGTCAGGATAGTCCTACAAGCATATCCCAATTAAGCCCATGGAAAAATCCCGAGGTAGGGCCAAACCATTGGGCAAAAATCAGTTTCAATTTGTCTAAATTCTGCAGTTCAGCTTCCCTATCTTATTAAATTATAAACTTCTTCCTCAGTGGCCAGAAAAGTATCATGCTACGGGTATAAATCAGAAACCCCAATCTAGGCCACTCAACAGCCTTAGCAGCTGGATAGGAATATGCATGTTTTACCCAAGAGCAATTCTCATAAATTTTCCTAATGTGGGGGACCTCGGGACTAGAGATGGGTGTGAAAGTTTGACTTTTTTCCTACAGTGCCACCGCAAGCAGGTGCCAGAAAAATTAAAGTGACACAAGCCATAACTCCTGGGAAGCCAATAATGATAGCGCAGTTTCCTTTGACAGAACCAGACTAGCCTAAGACCAGGAGGGACAAAGTCAGCCTATTCCAAGGAAGCTAGTCTTCATACATTCTGTCTCATGCTCACAAGTGTTTGGTTCAAGGACAAACACCCTTTGTGTTATCTTTTGTGATTGAACACTTGCCTCAGGTTTCTGGGCTGTCCTAAGGATGTGAGACATTGCCTCTGGGAGTTGCTATTTCCCTGGCAGTCTCTTCTGTGTGGGTGGGCCAGGTGTGAGTGTCGAACTCTGTATCTCTCAGATAGACAATGTTCCAGCACAAGTCATCACACCTTTAGTCTATTCCAGTATCATAGCCTTTCTTCCCAGCATTAGGTTTAAGATTTAATAAGATGGAAATTAATTGCACTGTAACACAGGAATGTATGATTATCTGTTGATAATAAGGT